TAATTAGCTTAAAAGTTTATGTGGGCATGATAAGCTAATTGTCAGATTAGCTTGCCATTGAAGTTGTTCTAAAGATCTTTCAACAATTAATGAACCTAAACAACAACATAAAAGAACTAGTTTTAATTAATAAGCTAGTAAAAATTCTTTAAACTAGCTAAAATGCAAAAAAAAAAAAAAAAAAAAAAAAAAAAGGCTTAAAAGATGGCAGTTGCAGTATTATTTTTGTTTGACAAAACTAAGTTGGAAAGACAATTGAAAGTTGGAAAGACCATGAAAGCCGAAAGCTAATCATACAACCTTCAATTTTTTTTGTCGGTATGTAGTTTACTTTTGTAGATTTCCTTTTGTTGGTTACACCCTAATTTTTTTTTTGGAAAAATTCATGGGAAAAATTCCACCTTTGGGCCATTTGTTTTTAATAATTCCAACTTTGGGATATTTTTAAATAATCCCACCTTTGGACTCCGATCTTTTTGAATGGTCCCATTTTACCTGAAACCAGTTGAGTAGGTAATTTTTTTTTTTTAAAAGATTAATATACACGTGTCATTACATAATTGGTAAAAAAAAAAAAAAAAAAAAAAAAAAAAAAAAAAACCAATTCAGCCACCACCATCCCCACCACCACCCAAACCCAAACCCTAGAACCACCAGACCCGAACCCCAAAACCACCCCACCAGCCTCCCCCTTTCCCCCGCCCCGATTCCAACCACCCAACGCCGGCGCCGCTTAACCCCCTCCCCTAAACCACCAACACCCTAGACCCTCCCCCAAAAACCCAGCCAACCCCTCCCCTAAACCACCAACGATTCCAGCCTCCCCCCCCTTCCCCCGCCCCAATTCCGACCTCCTTCCCCTTCCCTCGCCCTGATTTCGGCCTCCCTTACCTTCCCCCGCCCCGATTTCTCTCTCCTTTCTCCACCCAGATTTCTCTCTCCTCCCAAGTCCGGCACAGGGGGGGAATAGGAGCAGCCGTCGCCTGTGGGGAGGGTTTTGTTGGTGTGGGTCGCTGTTGATGGAGGGTTTTGTTGGTGTGGGTTGCCATGCGGTGGTGGAGGGTTCTTTAGGGGGTGGGTTATTAGTCATGTTGGTGGTGTGTTGAAGGGGGCGCCGCTGTTGGTGGGTTAAGGGGAGTTACTGGTGGTGGGTTGAGGGAGGGTGGTTGCTTGTGGTGGGTTGTGGTAGGTTGAGGAACGGTGGTTGCTTGTGGTGGGTGTAGGGGTCATGTTGGTGGTGGGGGTCATGTTGGTGGTGGTTTTTGCTCTGGTGGTTATGGAGGGAAGAAGGGAAAGGGGAAGGGGAAATGAAAAAAAAAAAAAAAAAGTTTTTTTTTTTTTTAAATTTTTTTTTGACCAATCACAGGCTGCCACGTATCATGTAACCTGGTATAACAGGTTACATGACTGGTTGGGACCATTAAAAAAGATCGAGGGGTAAAGGTGGGATTATTTAAAAATATCCCAAAGGTGGGATTATTAAAAACGAACGGCCCAAAGGTGGGATTATTCCCATGAATTTTTCCTTTTTTTTTCTCTTTTGACAAACTGATTTTTTAAACGTACTTTTATTTGCCACATTTCCTTTATAAAAAAATAAAAAAAAAAAAAATAAATAAAAAAAAAAAAACCTTTATAGTCGAAACATATATACTCACTTCTCTTACTTTTTTTCTTACATGTCTTACTTTTTACATCAGTTAGCTAGCATTAGTGGTTGTTTGGTATCACATTAAAAATCTACAAACTTAAGTTTATTGTATGAATTAGTTGAAACTTAATTATAATGTTCAACATACCCACATATGATTAGATAAGATATCTCTTCATTCTGTTTGAAATTTGATCTATAGGTATATCTATACTTGTATAAGTATTAAAAAGCGTTTTTGAAGAAGTTTTATGTATCATGTGACACCCTACCTCACGCAATATTTCTCATTTTATGTCATCAACTTAAAATCTTTCAATCATAAAAAAAAAATCGTAAATAGTCTAAACAAGAATTGAACATAAAAACTCATGTTATAACACAAGATTTCTTATTACCACTAAAATATGTCTTCTAAGCTACTGCAAGGTCTACTGTAAAATCTTCCATGTAATTTGTGTGAGCCTAACCCTTAAGGCTTTAATCATTAGCTAAAACTATAAATTGCCACACCATGAATTACTTGTCAAACTTAAACATTACATTTGATTAAAATGGAATTAAAGCTTCAAAATTTACAGTAAAAACATTATAGAACAGGACACGTGGCGTAGACCTAAAAGGCCAATAATCAAAAGACAATTAATTTAGTGGGATAATGATGATTATTATGACGATAATGGGCACGTTAAAATGTCTTTTAAATAACATGTAACGTGGACAGTCACGTGGCAACAAACCTTTTGCCTGAGAGAATAAAGGAAGAGCTCGTGGGTCCCTTTAACAATCAATTAATTCAGTTGAGCTTTATAATGTCAGGAATGGCAGCTTCTAATAAAATTTTACCAAACCAATTAAGCAAAGAATAATTAACAAGCTCACATGCATTATAAATAAAATTGTACCATATCTAAGTTATTTTTGTGTCTCCCTGATTTTTCGGTCAAGATATCTTTGTTTCTTTTTACATGAATTAGATTATATTATAAAAAAAATAATAAAATGTGGTTATATTTGCACTATATCTATAGTATTATTAAAATTCATAGGGACAACATGCTAACGTCACGTGTCACCCTTCATTCAATTCCCCTAGAAAGTTTATTACTCTCTTTATGATTATTGTTAATGACATGCTAGGGTTTGCTATCAATCCATTTAGTATCATGCCTAGAATTTTGCTAATCATGTTTAGATGGTATTATAATGATAATGATTGTTGTGTCAATTAATTATATATTGCTTGATTATTCATGATTGATTGTTATTGCTTGATCACGCCCTTTTTGCAGGTTTAAAGGGAATTTGTACTTAAAATCACGTCTGATAAGATAATTAATAATTTGATTTAAGCTAATATAATTTTAATTCAAGTGTTCAACAATAATAGATTTGATTGTACATTAATAATCAACCAACGTAGATTAAACAGGTTCAGGGCTAACTTGATGTATGTATGTTGATCGAAAAGCGCACATGAATATAATAAGAATTAAGTAGAGGCCGATTTAGGGCGGGTTCAATCTCTTTAAGGTTGGGTTCATACCATCATCCTCGAATATCTAGTCATGGTTCCGGACCACTATGGAGTTAGCGATCTCCGTGATCATGAATGGGTGTAACCTTCACACCCGTGAACGGTTTACAAGTTCCTAAAACTTGTTGGCGACTCTTTTATCTTTAGCTTCCTTCCCTTTGTACGCCACCATGCTTAAAAACATGATCACAGTGGGGCTCAAAGTTGAGTTTTGAAAAATTCCCTACAGATAGTCCATCTTATTGCAAGACGGGATATTAGAGGTTGTTCGGAATTAATTTGTGTGAATGTTTTTCTCCCAAACTCTCAAACTTTGGAGGAATTGGATTTGAATTAATAATATGCTGGCGGCCTATTTTTTTTTTAAAAAAAAATAGTAGTATGAGTATTCTAAATAAAAAAAACTTTGAATTATTAAAGAACACATACAAATATGAAAAATGTTCAATCTATTTTGAGATAACCTTCATAAAAAGGTGTTATTCTACTCAATAACCAGTCGTATCGTTTCCTTTTAGAATGCAGTAGAAAGAAATCCATATTTTTATTAAAGATAAATGTTTCCATTTTGATTTGCATTATTTGGATTCTATATTAAGTCGATTAAACAAATTTTATATTTTAACTTCATAGATAAATTTTCAGCTTTTTCCCACTCATGAGTATCTTTATAGAAAAAATGGAGGTGTTTACTATGTTAAAAAATTTATTGATCGTTTATTCAAGTCATAGCGTAATGTAATGCTCTGTTCGGAAATGTGCATTCCATTTGAATTTTTTACTTTTTGAAAATCAGAAAATTCAAAATTAGAATTGGCTTAATTTCCGGATAAATTCATCTAAGATCTACATACAAAATTTGAAATCTTATTTAAAAATTTAGTCACTTTTATTTGTTTTTTTGTCATCTCTCATAAATCTTCTCTCATCCCATTAAAAAAAAAACATGTTCTCCACTCTCTCTCAAACAATATATCATTCCAAATAATATTTCTCTCTCTTTCCAACTTTCCCTACACCATTTAAACAATTTTTTTTTTCAAAATAATATTTCTAGGCTTGAATCTTTAACAAAACGTACTACTCCATTAAATTGGGCACATGAACGCATGACATAGAATTTTAAGTGTAGGAAGAATAATGAGTTAAAGAGGACCAGTGTTTATTACGGAGTAATATTATTTTTTGTTTATTGAAAGTTGAAACCACTCAAATAATGTGTACAATTGATCCTTGACGCCTATTTATAGGCCCCTTAACCCCAAGGCCAGAAACTTCTATTCTAGAGTAAGTTTTTAAGGGAACTCTTTATACATGGAGGTTTCATTACAAAATACCAAGTATGTATTAAGATATTTTACAGTAGACACTTACAAACTAAAAGCAACGACTGCTACAAATGACACTTCAAGAATACAAACATTTATTTACGGGCCTCACCTTAGAAAATTGACACATCATTATATTAATTGACTCAAAATAGGGACCCCCAATTTTAAGCTCATTTGAAGTCCTTTTAGGCCTGAAAGGGCTCATTATACAAGTCCAAGGATACGTACGGACTCCAGGACTATGTTCATTTGGCTTTACTCTAGGTCCTCTGTCCTCATAGAGAGGTCAATGGGTCATACTCATACATCAAACATTTTTATAATTTGATTGCACTTGACTACTACATACTTCGCTTTTTTTAGATGCAAGTATGAAACACTTTTCTTATCACGTATAGAGCACACGACTACACGATAACTAATAATCTATTAACACCCCTAAATCAATTTACATACTCACATTGAATGTAAAAATACAATATTGAAATGGCAAAACACATTTTTCATCTTATTATAATCCATATACATCATCAATCATTCATTAAATAACAAATGTTTACAATAAGAACCCCCAAAAATCAGCCAAGAAAGAGAATAGACTGTCATCCGTCAAGCAGGCTACAAGAATATTGCTACTCTTATTAGTTGTCAACAAACAAAAAATATGAACTAATGCGAATTCACATCAGCATGCACAATTAAGGGCATGAGTTAAAAAGTCACCTATAGTACACTACAGATAAGCACCGCTGCTATAGTTTATAAGAGGAGCTCACTACACTAATTGCTATTTACAAGGGGGCATAACCACTTAGGCTGCCAATTACAATGGTGTGGTGCACTTTATCATACAAAGCATTGGGTTTTCTGCAACCCAAAAAAACAAATTGAGGCTAAAGGAGCAGGTTTATTTCATATTTTTACAAACCGAACATCATTTTGCCCAAATGCGGTACCACAGCCAGGGCATTTCCTGTGGCGAATTTCCAGATTTCTTTGTATACACTGATTGCAGAATAGATGGTAGCACTTCACAATCACAACCTATATGAAACAATTACTTGCTTTATAAGTATATTGAACCAGGGGACTAGTAGGAAACGAATGGGAAATAATAGCAATATCTAGCAAATTATGATGATAGGCAACGACTTCAACCTCAAGAGTAGCGTAAAGATAAATGATAAGTAACCTACCTCTTTTGGTCGGTCAAAGCAAACACTGCATTTGAGAATAGACTTGCAATCTTTTATTTCCTCCTGAAGTCTCTGGATTGCAGCCTCCCCTGTTTCAGCGGTCATCTCCGCAACTCTGTCCTTCCATTCTCTGAGCTCCTCCTCAAGCTTCTTTTTGTCATTCCTGGTTTCCCACAAGCAACACTCGTTTTCTTATAAATCCATATACAATCATAAGCAGGAAAATAACTACAATCAGGGGAAGTGCACAAACTGAACCTGTGTATCAGACCAGAACCAGTTGCAATAACTATATCCTGCACCTGGGACCACAATGCATGCCGTGGTCCCAAATGAGTTTAGGTTCTGAGTTAAGGAATATATTTCTATTTTCATTCATTAATCTATATGTTCATTTATTACAGCCTAAGTAATAAAAGAATTATAAGTACACAATTTGTGCAACTATATGTTAGTAGTGATGTATGAACTAAGTATTTATAATTATTGAAAATATATAAACTATATGTTCATAATCTACATATTGAATGTTCATAATTTAAAACTATTCGTTCAATCAGGACACTCTTGCAAAAACAAAATTATGTACCAGAAGACCAGGGGTATTAATTTTGGTAGACTGGGGGATCAGAATTATTCCAGCCCAGTCCAATTTTGGACATGTTTCGTGATATTTAATGAATTTTCCAAGCCTGGTCGATTCCAGTACCTAGTTATGAACAATGGACTTACGAAACATGGAGTGCCTGCCAAGGTGGGTAAAGATAGACATCTATCAAGCAAAAAGTTAAGATAGTTGGAACAAGCTTACATGACTTTCCTGTTACATCATGTCTTTTTCAGGTTACAGGAATAATGCATATTAGGATATGAAACTAGATGTCTAACAGCAGGGTAAGATAACAAAGATATTACCTTTCACTGCCCAACTCCTTTTGAATATCAGCAGTCTTCCGTTGAACCTGTTCATATTCCTTCTCAGAAGAAGCAATAGCAGATTTAACCCATTTTAATTCCTTTTCTACATCTGATAATTCCCATTTCGCTCTCTCTAGGCTAACAATGAGGTGCCTGTCTTCCTGACAATGATTCAACGCTTCTGACATAATAGCCTTCATCTGCACAGAGTTAACTTGTCACCTTGGCATTACAAAAAACTGCAAAATTTTAGCACAAGATCGTATACGGAAACATACCTGCTCCTCACTCCTAGAAATTCTTGCTCTAAGAGATTCCAATGATGCATTAACTGATTGAAATTGCTTAGCCAGGGCTTGCTTTTCTGTGAGAAGTGTATTCACAGCCTGCTTTGTCTTTACACTTTCAGACACCAGCTAAATACACAGCACAACAGTTAATTACTTGGCACATAAAAAAAAAAAATCATAATAAATGAGACCAAATTAAGCACATGTGACTAGCATTACACCTTAATATTGTAATCATCCCTCTCAGTCATCTGCAACAAGAGATGTTGATTTTGTGTCTGCATATCTTCATATGCTTGACCAATCGTCTGCAACATAGAAAAAGAAAAATAAATCATTAATAAAACCAATAAACAAGAGGAACACTTTGAATGCCAAAATCTTTGGGGAACAAAGGTAGAATGAGATGAAAACCTCAATTTCAGATATATAAGCTTCCGCCTCTGCGTCCTTTATTTTAATTGCTTCTGTCAGTTCACAAACTTCCCTGCAGATAGAAAGTGATTTTTAACTTTCAAAGCCAACAAAGATGTACTCTGTGACTTTTAAGAATGTCTACTGTTTATCAGCCTCGAGAACATGCCAAATTTCACATAAGTAGCTTTCTGCTTAAAACTGTAAGAGGCCAGCTTATATCTTACCAATAGAAGTCCAGAAAGACAAAATCCAAGCAAACTTGCAAACAGGGGTAAGGCTGCATACTACTGATTATAATATCAAAATGATCCATCATACAAGAAAAAATAGAGGCACTAGGGTATGCTGCAATATGGTTAGTATCTACCTCTCTATTCAACCAGAAATCAGGAAGAAAGAAGGTAGATTACACCATCTGGGCAGGGTTCATTTCTCATTAAAGCCTCATTATGGAATCTGAAGCCCCCTACTCCAAAACAAAAAGAAAAACATATAGCCACCTTGCCTCTTACACAGCAAATGCCTACAAAAACATATAGCCACCTTGCCTCTTACACAATAATTTTCTACCTACTACTATACTTCTGCAGTACTACTTCGATACTAAACAGAGACAAATATACACAATGTTGGAAGTTTCCCACTGCGTAACCTCACTTAACTTGTACGCTAGTCGACTCTCCTCTTGTCGAGAGTCTTGACCCAGAGCCCAACAACTGTTGTGGGCTAAGAATGGATTGCCTTAATCGGCTTAATGTTGCAGATGTGTAGCATGATGAAGTCTGAGGTGTTGCAAGCAAGTGGGAGCCAAGGAAGTGGGCGAGTGATATGGATCTTAGTCAAACAATATGAATCTTAACCTAAAATAAATGTAACCGATAGACAATAGACTCAAATCACTCCTAAAAGAATCTATTGGTTAATTTGGTTCTTGAATCCCCTCAAGGTATTCAACCAATAATCTTAATCATTATTGAAATAAGATTAAAGGTTTGTTGTAATAGACTTAATATTAGGAAGGGCAATTTGGGAAGTCTAGTACTTTTAGGTTAGTAGTCCTTGGCCTTAGTATAAATAGAGGATATTATATGCAGTAGGAAATTATGTGAATTGTGAGGAAAATATGTTGAGAGTAGTAACCTCAAGTTACTAGGAGAGTGATAACCTTAAGTTATCAAGAGTAATAGCCTTAAGCTATTAACCTATCACTTTTGTATCAAATTCTGCCATTATTAATCAAAGTCCCAAGCTTTAATCTTTATTTATTAGTCTTATTAAATCAAGAATACAAGTCAGATTATCAGTCTCTAGTGGCTTTATCGGCGGTGGTATCTTGGTCGGAAGAGGACCATGCTCTTGTGTCGGCAGTGGGACTGATGGTGAAGAATGGTGGAACGGGTTATTGAGGTGGGCCGGTGGCAAAGGTGGCAGCAGCCAATGTGTGCTTGAGGGTTTTGAGGGTTTTGCGTGGCTACCATTCTCTGGTGGTTTCTTGAAGCTTTTGGCAGAAGTTTGACTGAAGTCTTTGGCTTGTGGAGGAAGCCAATTTTGAAAAGTGCTAGTAAGGGTATTGTAGTAATACACCTTGAAGATATTGCAAAAGCATTCAGCCAAGAGTCACATGCTTCAAACAAAACAGATGGCCAATGCACCAAATATAATGGGTTCCAGAGATTAAAGGGGCTTGCTCATTTAAAAGTCTTTTTCTGTGTTAAGAAAGAAAAGGCAAACAAATGGGCTTAATGACTTTAGGCCTAGTTTTCTTTCTCCTACTCTCACTGCCCAACTCACTACTCCACTTTACATGCAGCCCGCTCTTTCCACTCTCAAAAGTCAATCTCCACCTTCATCAACTTTGAGAGATCATTGCTTTTGCCGAGAATCGAGTGCTGATTATTATCCACCTTGAGGACAAGGTGGAAGTTTAGGGGGACGGTAATGTAATAGACTAATATTAGGAAGGGCAATTTGGGAAGACTAGTACTTTTAGGTTTGTAGTCCTTGGCCTTAGTATAAATAGAGGATATTATATGCAGTAGGATATTAATTGTGAGGAAAATATGTTGAGTAGTAACCTCAAGTTACTAGGAGAGTGATAACCTAAAGTTATCAAGAGAGTAATAGCCTTAAGCTATTAACCTCACTTTTGTATCAAATTCTGCCATTATTAATCAAAGTCCCAAGCTTTAATCTTTATTTATTAGTCTTATCAAATCAAGAATACAAGTCAGATTATCAGTCTATAACATTTGTGTATCAATCCTTAAACCCGATAAATTCCACAAAGGGAAAACTCAATTTAATTAATCTCAATCTCTATTAATAACTTATTACATAAACACAATAATTAAAACCCTAACATGAATCCGTATAAACCCATAAGCCCGTATATTATAACATCGACAAGCCCACAAAATATACCAAGTGACATTTTAACCAGTAACAAGCCAAGCTCAATAATTAAAAAGAGTAATCAAATAATTGGTTTTTGGTCTTGCCCCCACATCAACTACACACAAAAACAAAATCTGAAGAAAAAAACATGAAGTTCAAACCTTTCAGTAGTATCCAGTTTGGCTCTTAAATCAGCAATTTCAGCTTCCGCAACAGAGAGACGCAGCTGGCAAGCAGCCTCAGCTTCATTAGCAGCTTTTATCCTTAGCTCCAGATTATGCTCATCAAGAGCATGTTTCAACACCTCAGCTTGTGCACAAGCTCTTCGTTCAGATTCTTGGATTTCCATAAGATCCCTGAAATTCAGAGTCAAAAAATCTTCATTAGATAAATAGAGCACGTATGAAACATCCAATGCAGCTCAAAATATAAGAAAACAGAGAAAAATAATTAACATAAAGAGCAGCCAAAATATACATCTTCACAATTAGAAATCAACCATATCAGTAAATTGATCGTAATCAAGACACTAGGATTTCCTGAGCCTTGACCAAAATTGAAATTGACAACGCATGTTCCATAAGAGCAATATATTACATGCACTTTTAGTTTAGGAAATAAGCTACTAATTCGTTCATCCAACCGCTAAACGGACAGAGGTAGCAATGTTAATTTTAGAATCAAAAGGACCTAGAATATATATCACTCAGCCAAATGAGTCGGTCAAATGTGAAACAACCTCAAGGTATAAACTTGAGGGCAACAATACACAAGAGTATATTCTTGATTTTTCTAGAAAAACAATATCTCATATAATGATATAATAAATTGCAAATCATGACCTATAAGTCTTAGATAGGCCCTGCCAACCGACTAAGAAAACTAAGGCAAGTTTTTCTAATCCCTCTAGGTATACAGAGTATAATAATTCCAAGAGTTGGTAAATCTCCTATGTTGCGAGCGAAAAGGCAACATACTGACAACAAAAGATAATAAGCATATTTTAGACTCTATGTTACTTGGACTTGGGTATCCATGTCCGACATGGATACGTGTCCAAGTATCCGACCCGGCTATTTTGTGAAAAATTCCAAATAATTTTGAACTAAAATGAAGTGTCCAAGTGTCCCACCCGTGTCCGAGTGTCAAGGGTCCAACACGGGTATGTGAGGTAAAATGAAGAGTCTGAGTAACATAGACTCAAAGTACCCCTATTTGGTACGTGTCCAAGTGTTTGTTAAAATAATAATAAAAAATAAAAATGAAAAATAAAAAAAATAAACATGATTTTGGTCTAAATTGGAATGTCCAAGTGTCCTACCCATGTCCGACTGTCGAGGGTTTGAGGTTCGACACAAGTACTTAAGGTAAATTGAGAGTTCATGTAACATAGATTTAGGGGCTAAGGTGAGAATGGGCCTTAGTTTAGTTGTACTCCAATGGGACAACATTGGTGACACAGTGGGCTAAGGTTGTCATTTGATCACATTAATTAGCAGCAGCTAGGTATATTAGTTCGTTAGGAATTTTAGGAAGTAAAGTCTTATTTTTCTTCGTTATTGCAAACTACATAGGAACGCGGCATATGCCAAAAGAATAGCCAACGTAATACACTTCATAAGATAAGAAATACTGATCACTTCTATAGAGAATTCCATCCATAAAAACCCTCTTAACATAAAATTTCATAGCATGATTTGAGACATGAACTAATATCCCAAAAAGATATATATAGGAATTTGGAATAGAACAGAATAAAAGATGTATGTCAACCTTTAATGGACCGAGAATGAACATAATGAGGTGCTTGGTGTGTACGAATTGAGGGTAGGAGTGGGATTTATAAAGGGGTGGGATTAGGAATATAACCAATAGTTTCAATGAAGATAATACCTTAAAGGGATTGGGGAAGGGAGTGGGATTTTTAAGGGGAATAGAAGCCCTCACTTCCCATCATAATAGTATCCAGGGGCAGGAACTAAAGGAAGGGAATTAATAAAGGGGTAAAATGTCCCACATGCCATGAATAAAAAAGATGGCTAATTGTATTAGTTACAATTTATGGGTAGTCTTGTAAAGTATTCCAAATCTTTTCCAACCACTACCAAAACAAGCGATGGGACAAAATTTAATGAATTCCTGCCTAAAAATTGTTATCCCCAATCCCACCCTCTAATCCTCAAATTTTCATTCTCATACCAAACGCTTCCTTGAAGAAGATATCAAGATATATTGGAAGCCAAATATCATACTTTTGAACTAAAAAGTTGTATTATGGGTTTTCCAGGTAAAAAACTCAAAATACATTAGAGCCTTAAAAAAATATCAGCTGAGCTAATCACCAAACAAGAAATCTTATTCGTCTATTTAAATTCCATTTCATACCCGAGTAAATATCAGTTATGTCAATATTCACTTCAAAATTGAACAAACCCAATGTTTTGGAAGTGCCGCTGAATCACGTATAAGACTTACTAATTGATCCAAAAAAACGTGTACTTAAATAACATGTCAGAAGTTAGGAAGACCTCATCAACATACCTATTGTCATAACTTCCCTGACCAAGCATATCTACGAAAATTTGCAGTTCCGACTTTTCTTTTTGCAGCTTCTCAATCTGCAATGTTTATATACTTGTAAGTTAACAGAAAAGGCCCCTTAAATACTGAGGCGTCATGACTCATGATCAATATACCAACACTATCAGAGAGTTTCAAACAAAATTACTCATTTGACTGAAAAGATGAAGAAAAAAAAGTTGATTTAAGACTCTGCTGGGATGAAGACATCTCACCAACTCTTTGAGGGATTTGATTTCTGCCATCTGCTGACCACATTTATCTCCCAAGGCCTTCACTTCACTAGTCTACCAGCAAATAAAAGATTGTGAACATATTAGGAAAAAAATGTCAAAAAACCTGTCACTTGAAAAAAAGATAAAAGTAAATAAACACGTACATACATGACATATGATCCATAGGAATTCTTTACTTATGTACCCTTGACAAAAATTTGGTCTCAACAGTATATTTACTATTTCTATTTAAGTTTTATAAGTGTTAAGTTAAAACCCATTGCTGACAGTACATCTGAAAACTCAACATGCACCAATTTTCTACATCATCTAAATATATTGTGCCTCCCTTCTAAAGGAATGACAAATGGAGCAATTAGAGGACGAAGTGACATGATATGCCAAGATATCCAGATAATACCTCAAATAGTTAAATTTAACTGGAAATCAAGTACAGCACAACAGTTTCAGACAATACCTTTCTATTTAACAATGCCTTCTGTGTTTCTGCTTCCCCACGTAAGGACAAGGCTTCCTGAGCAATATCTTTCCATCGATTCAATTGAGCCTCTACCATACCCATTTCTTTGGACAGAGCAGAGGCCATCACATTGAACTCAGATTTAATGTCTGTTCTTCCTGCGGGAAGTTTCAAGTATTAAAGACTAATCAATTACAAAGATGTACATTAATGATCGTATAAACAATAAGTCACCTGAATCTTGAACAGCTTCCTCCATTTTAGCCTCAAGTTCATTCTTCTCAATAATAGAATTCTGGAATTTTAGCTCTAATTCTTCAACTCTTGTCTCAGCCTTGTCAATAGAAGCTTTTGCACTGTCTGCTGATTCTTTCTTTAACTCTAGTTCCTTCTCTCTTCTGATAAGGTATGACCTATCGGACTGAAGCAAGCCTTTTTAGGGGAAAACAATAAGTATACAGGAAACCAAGCTAAAAAATAGCAGTCATCACCTGCAGAGAATCGGTCAATGTTTTATATCGCGTGACTTCAGCTTTCCAATGGTGGAGCTGATCATTTACCAAGGTGTACAATCGAGAACTGCACACGTATTTATCATCTTTCATTTCTTTCTGAAATGACAATATTGCCAATTCAAGATTAGAAAACAAAGTAGCAAGTGTGCCCAAGCTAATCTATAGACTCCACAACATATCATCACATACAATGCCTATAACAAGGCTCCCGCCAATGCTATGGACCAGTTAATTATAATTATAAAACATCAATTAATTCAATTGTCATGCAACATACCTCAATTTCTTCTAATTGTTTTGACAGGATTGAATTGTCTTCACGTGCATCCTCAAGCTCAGCAAGACGATCAGCAGCCAATATCTGCATTGTTGCTAAATGTTAATAAAGGGACTGAAAGTTTGTCATAACTTCAAGATAGGCCACATGATTCGTCCCATTTTTTCTGTAGTAATAAGGATGCACATAAAAGCTAAGTACCTCAGCTTCTTCAATTGAGTGTTTCAGCTCCCGCAGGCCCATTGACCTATCAGGCAATTTCAATGAAGATAAATTGCCATTCATAACCCCAGTGACTGGGCTGTAAGTCTCAGATGCTAAATTCTTCTGCATTCTCAGATTTACAAGCTTTCTTCTGCTTTCTTCAAGCTCAGCCATGCTCTCTTCAAGCTCACCTTTTTAACATTGAGAAAGGGAAAAAGGCGGTATGTGTAAGAACAAAAGTGTCATAAAGAACATCATATGTATTGACAACACCAAAACCCATAATAGTACAGATAAAATCTAGTTCGGTATTACAGGCCATTTAAAAAGGCCAGAATTGAAGAGAAGAATACAACAGACCAGCAATATGTTTGATCTCAGTTTCATCCACTGACTTGTTCTGTATATAGCTCTGGATCCTATCAGCATATTGTAAGTGCTTTAGATGGAGACCATCAATGACCACACGAAGACTAGTAGCCTCCTCTGTCATCAGATCTTCAATTTTGTTCAATTTAGTGATGGCATCTGCTACAACCACAAATGGCAATAAGCACATGATGATGCTCAACCAGAAAAATGTACAGGACTAGAGGATACTTTCTATAACAAATCCCAATAAAGCTACTCAGAAAATAGTTTTTAGTTATCCAAAACTGACCTCCAGAACCTTCTGTAGAAAGGTTTTCATGCAGTTCCTGAGCAATGCTGAAGGTCTTTTTCTTCTGATCCTCGACAAAGTTTTCAAAAAATCTCAGTAAATCCAAAATAGAGGAGTAGTGTTGGGAAAAAATTTCTTCAACAGATTTAACATGATCCTCTCCTCCATTGCCCTTGACAGAATCAACGTTTAGAAGCCTACAGAGTAATACATGCTCCGCAGGACACGAAGTGTTTGAACCTAAGAGGTACATCAAGTCAATCTAGAGTAGAAGCAAAGAAAATCTTAGCTGTAAGAAAACAGAAGAACCTAAGAGGTACATCAAGTCAATAAGTCACAAATAAGACAACCTTGAGAATAGTCTTCAGAATCTAAAGTTTGCAAGACATTTAGGTTTCCTCCAGCTCTAACCCCGAGAAAAACTACATCATCAATCAACTACATCACAAAGACATGGTATCTCATTAACAAATAGAATAAGAACAAAAAAAATGAAGCCAAAAAAGTAAGCACATATCATTTTTAGGAATCAACCTGGTTCCATAGTTGCTTGATAGTTGTTAGCATATCATCATAAGAGGATTGCCTTTCTTTTAGTTCTTGGATTTTGACTTCAAGATCATGTAGCTCATGTTTCTGTGCATCCAATTGTTGTACAAGTTTTTGATTCTGGTATTGGAGGAGAGTTGCATCAACCTGTAACAAATATAGAGCTCTTAACTAGCCTCTTCCTCTGACACGATTTTTCATCCACAGAAATATGCTTGCGTATATTCATACATCGGTGGCATCAATGAAATAGCTCATTCTCACAACAAGGCTTCATAATTCTATGAAATTGTTGACACATAATGTTTTACATTACAAATTAACTTCCACTCATGTATAAAAGTTGGTACCTCGAATAAGTAGGGGTGAGCAAATAATCAGGGTACCCTGAATTGGAACCGAACCAGTTAGGAACCAGAGGTTCTGAAACCGGTTCCGGGTAGTAAAATTAAGAACCGATTCAAGTTCTCAGTTTTTTGGAACCAAAACCTATAGGGTACCATGTAATATTACTTAAGCTCAAATTATACACCAATTCACACCCAAAATTTTTAAAATAACAATTATAAATATATGTCTTAAATTTGCTAAACAACTACTTTTGGTTTGTTGTATTTGCGAGTTGTTGAAGTTATAAATTTATGACCATCCAGTTTTTTTAAATATAATTTTGCAAAAAATTATTATGTATATTAAAAAAACAAGGTATACTGAACCGGAACCTGGTTCTCATTTTCCAGGAACCGGTTCTGGTTCCCAATTTTTCCAGTTGAGGTTCCAAAAATTTTAACAAGGTACCCTATTATGCTCACCCCACTAAAAATAAGTACATGTTTCTAGTAGCTACAGACACCTTGAGATCATGGGCACCATAAAGTCGATAGCATTATATTGTTTATCTGTTAGCTGCAGGCCCACAAGTATCTAGCATTTTTTTCAAAACTGCATTCAAATACTGGGGTGGAAATAGGTTGGACAATCTATAAGTGGACTAATGGCAATGGGCATACATAGAGAAAAGGAATGATTCTGAATTCCATGCAAAATGAAAAATGACTAAAATCCAACTGCAGAAAGAAATTTTAAAGTGGAGGTCAAGGGAAAGACTATGCAATATGACTTAACAGTAAGGTACAGTTACAACAGGTTGGTTAAACGGAATCCCAATCCACAAAATGAGCACGGAAGGGAATCAAAAGTTTATATTCTTCGAGCTAAGGAATGTATTAAATTCGTAACGACCATTCAAAACAAAGTAGTATTTACATATAATACAAAAATATCCCCACACCTTAGGTCTGCGTCTACAAATACCAAAGCAAGAACATCACTGAAGAAGCCGGAAAATGAATATACAACAAAATTCAGATAACAAAAGACTCCCTCCAGTCTTAGCAACACACTCCATACTTCCATAGTCACACCACCAAGTTCAATATCCAACCTTAAGCACTGGGTTTGGTTTACAATTTGTTTTAAACACTGAATTCAATTCATCATGAGCAAACAATAGTAACCCAAGCATCAAACACACCAAGTCGTAAACTCAAGCTATTATCAGTACTCAAATTTCACAATGCCAACATATTTTGACAGCAACAACCCAAAATTTACAGTTAATCAGCTACAATACATCACTGGATTATAACACAATGAACGAAAATTAGGCCAAAATACAGAAACCCTTTTCTCCGCCAACACGTGGGAAGTAACTATTAAACCAGTTACTACGTATAAGCTTATAATCAATTCAAACCTAAACCCTACTTTCATATTCCTTTAATTTATCAACAATTAAAACAGCACATATCGAATTGATGCATATAGAGTGTTATCAATCAAATAAGCAATTATCTTATCAAATTAAGGCAAAGAGGTATAGCGCGAAAGCGAACCGATTTGTTATCAGGAGAGAGATTAGAGTTGCGAGCCATTGGGGAAGAATCACTGCTGAAATGAGGTCTTTTCTTCTCTGGTTCTTCCAACTCCGCGTTTTCCATCACCTCTCCTCCACCCCCACCACCATTACCCTATTCACTAAAACCCTAACCCTAACCCTAAACCCCCAAAACCATATTCTTCAATTGCTTTATTACCCAGATTAATTTTGCAATATTAACTAACTCCCAAAATTAATCAGAGCTAATTAATTCAATCCAACCTAAAAAAAAATGAAATATTTAGAGTAATCTACAGTGAGGATGAATAACCTGCACCATGCAAACAGATTAAAAAAAAAAAGTTAGAAATTCACAGAAAAAAAAAAATGTAAATTTCAATGAAAACAATACAAATTAAGAGAAGAAAACATGCAATTGAAATTAAGAACTAACCAATATTTTTGTTTTTTAGTGAAATTAAATTGAGTTAAAAGTTGGTTGAAAGAAGAGTGGCAGGTTGAACTCGTTGAAGGTGAGGAAGAAGAGAATTGGTGATATGAGGAAAGAGGAGAGAGAAAGAAAAGCGCCAATGTTACGGAATTTGAGGTGGGTCTTTGAAAGTTCCATTTTTAGGGCTCTCGAGTTTGGAAAAATTGTCAAACTGAGCGTTTTTAGAAAACAATTTTTCAAACAAGACGCGTGGCAAAACTATTTACCAAACTAAGCTTTCAGGGTAAAACGCCAACCAGGGTGGCGTTTTACCCTGAGCAATTTTTTTTTTTAATTTTTAGTCAAAGGTAAAACGCCATCAAGGGTGGCGTTTTACTGCTGGGCAAATTTTTTAAAAAAAAAAACATTTACACAAAAACGCTAACGTCGTCGGCGTTTTACTTTTAACACAAAAGCGCTAACGTCGTTGGCGTTTTAGAGTCGGGTATTTCTAACACCATATATCGTTGTTCTTCATTATTCAACCAAACCCCCAAAGATACGCTCGAGCGTACCTGTTCATGTTGATAGGATCATTATTCAGTAACAAGAGTGGTAGTCACATACAGTTGATCTACCTACATCTGTTAGAGAACAACTGGGAGGGTATGCGTGACTACAGCTGGGGTAGTGCGTGTCTGGCAACCTTATATCGACATCTTTGCAGAGCATCCCAGCGTAGTAGATGGGAGATCAGCGGTCCCTTGATTGTGCTTCAGGTAGTCTTGTACTTTCATACCATTTTCTACCTATTACGTACTAAACATTGGCTAGACTAAACTTTTGTTTTTTTATTATAGTTATGGGCTTGGGAGCACATCCACGTTGGTAGGCCAGCTATGCCTGCTAGGCGTCGACGCGAGGAGGAGGAGGAAGACGATCAGGAGCATGCATATTAGGGGTGAAACAAATTCGGGTTAAAACCGAACCGAACCGAAAACCGAACCGAATAAGAAATATGGTTCGGTTTTTTTTTGAAGTGGTTCGGTTCGGTTTTTAAAAAAAAATATTTCGGTTTTCGGTTTGGTTTCGAGTTGAGGAAATGGAAAACCGAAAAAAACCGAAAACCGAAATTTAGGCCCAGATTTACCCTAAGTATATAAGGGAAAAAAAAAACCCTAACCCTCATTCTCTGATTCTCTCTCCTGACTTCCTCAGTTCCTCGCCTCTTACCCTACCCTCATTGCGAATTTCTCAGTCTCTCACCCTCACTTTCTCAGTTTCTCAATCATCTCTTTTGTGTTTCTCAGAATTCTCACTCTCCATCGTTCACCGGCACTCGTTCAGGCGTTCACTGTGACACCGTCCACCGTCCAAAGGTATGCTTTTAAGTTTTGATTATGCTTGATGTTCATATTTTTTTAGGGTTTTAATTATGATTAGTGTTAAATGTTAATTACGAAAATCTGCAAATTACATGTACAAATTTGTTAAACATTCTGATTAGGGTTTTAATCTATGCTTGATGTTCATATTGCGATGTTGTTTCTGAATTTTCTATTATGTACAAATTAGTAAAACATTCTGAATTTTCTGGTATTTTGATGCTTCGGGGTTTTGGTCTATTCAAGGGTATTTTGGGTTTTGGTCTAGTAAAACATTCTGATTAGGGTTTTGGTCTAGTAAAACATTCTGAATTTTCTGGTATTTTGAAGCTCTATTCGATTGGACTCTGTTGAAGATTGTTTCAGATTATTAGTTAGTTATTAATTCAAGGGTTCGCATGATTAATAGCATTATCATTGTCTTGATAAGTGTTTATTAGATTGTTGATCTTTGTTATTATTGTTAATTTTGATTTTACTTGTTTTGGGTACAGTTAGTCAGTTAGTGCTTAATTTGATTGTTTTTGGGTGGTGGGGTGGAATCTTAGGGGGCTAATTATTATTGCTAAATTGTTATTGTCTTTGGTGCAGTTAGCCAGTTACTACTGATTTTGTTTATTAGGGGTATAATTATTATTATTGGTACTGTAAGTCTCTTTTTTTTTTATAGGACTATAAATTCATTGTAATTCTTACTAAAATAAATTAACTACAATTCAAAAATATGTAACAAAACTAACAAAACCCAATATTAACTTAATTTCATCTAACAACAATTGTTAATATAATATATTAATAAGTTTTGCACCAAGCCTCATAAACAAGAAAACAGTTTGCATGACTAATGCACAACGGCCCCAACCTATTATTCCCTTTAAAAGATCCAATATTCTTAATTTATGAGTTTGCATGTATTCTTACAGATTGTTATTCAACCACGAATTATTGAATGACAACCAACGTGGGTGGTGTTCCTGACCAGCCTCAATCCGAACATGAGACTGACCAAGTCTCACAAAATCAGAAAAAAGAACAGGGAGCAAAAAGGAAGAGGATGAAAGAACGCTCTGAAGTTTGGGAGCACTTTGATAAAGAAGACTTACCTTCTGGAATGCAGGCAATTTGCAAGTATTGTGGGATGAGCTACAAGTGTGGGGCAAAGAAAAACGGCACAAGTGTGTTATGGGATCATATTTCGCGATGTCGTAAGTATCCCTTTAACACCCCTAAAGATTCAAAACAAAGTTTGCTTTCATTTAAAAGTGCTAAAGAACCAAGTGGTGGTACTAGTGGGTTGACATACCACAAATTTGATGCTGGTAGTATTAGAAAAGCTTTGTCATTTATGGTGATTGTTGATGAACTTCCATTTAAGTTTGTTGAAGGTATAGGTTTTAGACATTTTTGTGGTGTAATAGAGCCTAGATTTAATGTTCCTTCTCGAATTACAGTAGCCAAAGATTGTTTTGAAACATATTTAACTGAAAAACGAAAGCTGAAAAATGTGTTAAAAAGGTGTAATTGAAGAGTTTCTTTAACCGCTGATACATGGACCTCTATACAACAAATCAATTACATGTGCTTGACTGTCCACTTTATTGATAATAATTGGAAATTACACAAAAGAATTCTGAATTTTTGTCCTATTTCTAGTCATAAGGGTGATGATATTGGCAAAGAAATTGAAAAGTGTTTGCTTGATTGGGGGCTTGAAAATGTCATGTGCATAACAGTTGATAATGCTAGCTCAAATGATACTGCAATTGGGTATATGAGAAGGAAAATAAATGGGTGGAAAACTGGGGTTCTTAAGGGTCGTTTCCTTCACATGCGTTGTGTTGCACACATTGTCAATTTGTTTGTTTCTGATGGGTTGAAAACTGTTAATGAGTCGGTTCAACGTGTTAGGCATGCTTTTAGGTTTATCAAACAATCTCCTGCTAGGTTGCAAAGGTTTAAAAAATGTGTCTTAGATGAAAAAATCAACACAAAAAAGGGATTGTGCCTTGATGTGCCTACTAGGTGGAACTCCACCTATTTGATGTTGAATGCTGCTATTGAGCTTCAAGATGCTTTTGAGAGGTATTCTGGGGAAGACCCTCACTATGTAGTTGATTTGAATGAGAGGGATGGTAAGGGTAGCCCAGATTCTGATGATTGGAATAATGTAAGAAGACTTTCTGAATTTCTACAAGCCTTTTATGATCTGACCTTGCATGTCTCTGGCTCTTTATATGTCAGTTTGAATTTGTTTTTTCATGAATTGGTGAGTGTTGCTGTACTTATGAAAGATTTGGTTTCAAGTGATGATGTGGATATGTGTCTTATGGCTTGTAGAATGAAAGAAAAATATGAAAAGTATTGGGGTGATCCAGAAAAAATAAACCTCCTGATTTTTATTGTCGTTGTCCTTGATCCTCGTTATAAGCTTGATTATGTTGAGTGGATGATAACTGAAATTTATGACCCCATTGTTGCATCAAAGTTAGTTGATAATGTGAAGGTAGCTTTGAATGCTTTGTATGAGGAGTATCGTGTTTCTTCTGGTAATGATGTGAATAGGGAGGAAGTGTCTTCAAGTAAGGATGGCAAAACTCCATTGATTCCCAAACATAAAAAGATTGAAGTCTTAAAGAGTAAGTATAAGAAACACAAGTGTGAGAGAGATGGAGATGCAAAAATAGAGTTAGACAAATATTTGGAGGAGGATACAGCGGAGGATATTGATGAATTTGACATATTGAGCTGGTGGAAATTCAATTGTTCAAGGTTTCCTACTGTGGGGAGAATTGCCCGTGATGTTCTTGTTGTCCCTGTTTCGACAGTAGCTTCTGAGAGTGCATTCAGCACTGGGGGCAGGGTTCTAGATCAGTTTAGGAGCTCATTAACTCCTCGAGTTGTAGAAGGTCTTGTTTGTGCTCAAAATTGGTTACGTGCTTCACCATTTCCAAGTATTGAAGAATGTTTAGAGGAAGTTGAGCTTCTTGAAGAGGGTAATATATAAGAACATCTAATCAAAAGTTACTTATTTTCATTATGTATATATAAATTAACTTGGTTATTTTTGTTATGAATTATGATAGACTTGAAGAATATGGCAATTGGTGATGCTGATATTGATGAAGTGCTTGAAATAATAGACTGATGTGGCTCTTTGCTCATTGCTGACTTGCTGTTGCCACTTTCCAGACTTGCTACTGCCTTGCTCTATCACTGCTACTGCCTTAGTCTATGCTGTTGAGTGCTGACCTGCTTTTGCTGCTGACCTGCTGTTATGATGCTGCTGTTGCCCTGCTGCTTGTTGCTACTGCTGTTAAACAATTTTTTTACTGCCTTTTAGAACTTGGTCTATGCTGCTTGTTGCTACTGCTGTTAAACAATTGTTAAAGTTGTAATGTTGAACAATTTTATTTTTTTTGGATGAAGTGTTGAACTTTTAAAACTTTGAATTATAACTTTGAAGTTTTCGAACTTGTTAATGTTGTTTAAATCTCATTAAGCATTTATGCTACTACATATGTTGATGAATATAATATTTATATGATTTAAGCCCACAAAAATTGCAGATTAAAGCCCAAATAAACAAGGCCCAAAAAAATTCGGTTTGGTTCGGTTTTTTCTTTTGAAACCGAAATTTATATGGTTTGGTTTGGTTTGGTTTCAAAAGTAAAGTGGTGCGGTTTGGTTTCCAAAAACCAAAAACCGAATTAGGGTGGTTCGGTTTCGGTTTGGCCTATAAACCAAACCGAAAACCGAACTTTCACCCCTAATGCATATGAGGCGCCGCCACACCCACCACCGGACTTAGCATACGGTTGCCGGTATGTATGACTTATTGTTAAGTTATCCACA